GCGCCAGATCAGGTGAGTCGGGTCACCCATGGCGCCGAGACGCTCTCCCCCGATCTGCGTCGCGGCGGCGCGTTAGGCGACAGCGCAAGGCGGCGGCGTGGTGCTGGGCAGGGGAGGCGGAGCTGCGGCTCCGAGGAAGATCTAGTGGCGCCGGCCGTTTGATGGGCTTGCGGGCATGGCGGCCTTGGTCGCGGTGGCCGGCGGCTCGGCCTGTCGGCGGCGGCTGGATCTCGGGGCGGCGGCCCTGGAAGGTGACGACGGGTGAAGCTCAGGCTTCCCGCGACGGCATGGCGTGGTGCTGTCCCTATCCAAGGCGGATCTGCATCGCCGATCTCGTTTTGCCGAGGATTGGTTCAGATCAGAGACGGTGATGAGTGTGCGGGATCGATCTCGGTGGCTCTCGCGTTTTGGCGAGGTGGATTGGGAGTCCTCCTCCCACGCTTCAGTGGTGGCGTATTCAGGCAGTGGCCGGTGTGCCAGGGCTCTTACGGTAGCATTGCTGTTGCGGTTGGTCGCTGGATCTAGGCGCGTAGATCTGGGGCTTTGAAGGCGGTCGAGATAGTGCGCAGGTTGTCGGGTGGATGTCTTGGGACGGATCCGAGTGAAAACTTGGTCTTCGGTCGTTGGCCGGAGCCGGTGATGACGATGCCCTTATCATCGTTTCCTTTATGAAGGCATCATCGAGGTACAAATCTCAAACCCACCCAATACATCCGGGGGAAACCCTAGATCAGTTGATCGGATGACGACGGCATTCATGTGTCGTTACCCCCTTGGGGGCGGCATTCTTGGAGATGCACTCGGGCTCGAGGGACCAGCGGATGGCTTCTTCGGTGGAGCGATGTTTCTTTCTACATATTCATGGCGGCGGCTCTTGGCGGCATGGAGCTGCGGAGGCTTGGCGTCAGATGTGTGGTGATGGACACGCGCAGTAGGTCGACGCTATCTGGCGTCGTGGTGGCGTTGGCGGCAGCTAGACCGGGCAAGGTCGATGCAACAGTACAGCTCTGAAGATGGATTGATGGCAGGTGACTGCGGCGGCCTCATATCCGGCAGGCGTCCTGGTTGAGGAGCACGCCGGACTGGTGGGTGCCCATACCCGGCAGGCGTCCTGGTTGGGACCTTAGGTCTTAGATGTTAGGTTTGGCTGCAAAGTCTGTTTGGTATTGGGCCCAGACTATCAGCGCCCCTTCATCAACTGGATAGGAGTAGCGACAGGTGTTGCTTAGACGATGGCTTTGGTCTTACTGTTGTACGACTTTGTAAGGTCTTGTGTTAATAATTAATAATATGACAGTATGCATCGTCCAGATGCAGAGGCCGGGGGGTATTCTTCCTTTTCTAAAAAAAATCAGAATATGCACATTCCAACGTAAAGGGGATTGTAATTTGCATTCAGCACTTTCCAAATGTTGGACGGCTGTCAGGAATTCAGAAAAATGAGGTTGGGTATCCTCATGTGTACATGTCAAGTATAGTTTTTGAATCTAAGCGCTCCACAAGATTTAACCGTGTAGCATTTTGAGTTTCGTCTCTCTTAAATATGTCCTACTGTACATGCCAATGCCCACCCCAATTTTTCCAGCACTATGGAGTATGGACCAAAAAGAACAGCAAAAAATGTCAATCTAAATTACTGTAACCACATGCTTCAAAAGAAGAACAGCAAAATCTAACTACTTCACAAAAAGCCTATATCTGCTCCAAATAAGACGAACTTTTGACAGCAAACAACTGAAGCGCATCAATAGATTATTAATGTATATGTCTCTGCCCGTGATTATGTCCGAATTTCTGACAAGCTTGCCTACTTCTCCTCTTCAGCTATATTTGACATGTTCTTCCACATGCATAGCTGTTAACATTCACCAATCAAATAACTAGAACCTAGAATCTTTTAGATTCAGCATGCTAGTACCTTTGAGTCCATGGAACTGGAGTGGGATGCGATTCAGGCGGGGTCTCTTCGGTGTCGTCAATATCTAGGACGTTGGAGAAATCTGTCGGGGTTCTGAATCTGTGGCACCATATTTCTCTCCATCTTCTCTTGATGAAGGAGAATGGTTCTGGAAATTAGGATGGATGCGCTCTTCGTCCTCCTCCTCCTCATCTAGCAATCCCAGATCTGGGACGCCCTCAGTTGCGACCGGCTGGGGACAAAAGGTGCCGCAGGCAATGGCAAGATTCAGATTTCTGCCGGAGAAAATGCAAGAACGAGACAGAGGATCTGCAAGACGAAGAGATACCTGAAGAGGAGATCCGTGAATGACTCCGCACTGAGATTCATCGTTGAATCCATTAGCAACCCTAGGGATCGAGGCGCGTGGATGGGGAGGGCGTGGTTCCTCCGCTCGATGCACCTGGGTCTGATTCACTATTCAAAATTTGAATTGTGGATGGGGATGGTCGGGGGAGTCTGGTCACGTGGTAGTGGACGGGGGGTAGGCGAGTACAGGCTACGCATCGAGCGTAGGTAGGATGCCAGATACGATAGGACGTGTATTCGATTCATATGCGCTGAGAAAAATGGAAATAGGCACAATCAGGTGGGTCCATGTGGGGCCTGCGACGCTGATCCACAAGACGAGGGGACCGCGTTGATTGGAGTTGTGCTTCTAACCAGTTGGTAATAGCCATATTCGCGGGTAATTGGGTTAGCGCCCGGCGACTCATCTAGCATCGATGCCGGCCGAATTCCCAGATTCGGATGGGACCTGAGCAAAACTACCAGGATTCTGACCCTGGCGCCTGCCTTGGCGTCGTGCGTTGTAAATGCCCTCAGCAGCTATCCAGCAAACCGGTAGCGTTTGCAGCCGGCGGACTGCGATCGCCAGGCCGCCGCGGGCCATAGCCCCTGTCAAGCCTGCCTTGCGGCCCTATGCAGTCCCACATGCATGCATCTTGTCCTAGACGGCCATTGGTTGCTCCCTCCGCAGTTTCCACTACCGCAACACGTACTGTGAATAATGTGGAGTACAATCTTACTTCCTAGCCATCTTATTCATATGAAAATTGTTGTATTAGGAACAAGAAAATTACCATTCAGAGCACTCGTTCTAGCTGATGCGGATGGATCCCGAAAACATATTTTAGAGCATATGCACCCAGTCCCTCTTATCTAGCCATCCATTCTTTGCATAAAGATCCGTGCATGTACATTTCTCTTTTTTCTTTCTCTCATATAGAGCCTATCTTCAAGTTCAATTTAGATTTTTTTTTCTCAAACATAAATATACAAAATAAGTTTTGTTTGATTAAAAAAATTATTCCGAGTATTTACGTTGGACGAAAAACTCTAAAAGTTTTATCCCACGTTCTAGTTAGTATGTTTTGCTGCGCTGCAAAGTTTGAAGTTCAAGACATATGTTCTATATGAGAGAAACAAAAAAGAGAAAATTTCATGGACGAAGTTAGTTATCTCGTATAGAGCGACATTGAAGATTTCTGGACGAAATTAGTTATCTCGCATAGATCTTAAAGCGACATTGAAGAGCCAGATAACCAAGGCCTGGGTACAGGTGCTCTAAAAATCTGCGTCCGGATGGATCCACATACATGCACATCTTGACCGACAATTAATTCATACATGCACGAAGCTTCAGCGACCTGCTGGTGCACAAGGCCTTGGAGATGATGGCGTTGCAGGTTGTAAGGTCTACGCATAGGCGTGGACGCAAGGCCTTGCACAAGCCGGGAGGAGGGACAATCAACTGGCGAGAATGGCGGAGATCTTGCCGCCGCCGCCGGCCTGCATGCTGCGATTTTTGGCGGCGTGGGGAGGTGGTCATGCGGCGTCGGGATGGCGGAGGTTAGCGATGGAGGCCCTTAGAGTATCTCGGGTCGTTGGCCCCCCATGCGGCTCGTAAAATTGCCGCCTGGGGCGAACCAGCGTAAAATCGGTCTGGGGGTTTTCGGGTTCCCAGTGGCCGGCCCCAGGGTTGTCCCCGGAAGGCGTCTTTAATATATTTTGAAAAGGAATTCGGTTGAAATTCAGCAAACGGGAAAAAGATTCGGCTAAAATTCGGCGAACATGACATCACTTAGGCGACTTAAATAGGTTTTTACATACGACACTCAAATACTTAAAAAAACAAAGGCCGCAACTACAGGCCGAAGAACGCACCGAGCGCGGCGAAGTCGCCGCTGTCGCCGCCATCGCCGTTGTCCTCGTCATCCTTCTCCTCCTTCGCGCAGCCGCCCCTGCTGGACCCCTGGGGTCGCCTTGGCGGACCGGTGGCGGCGCGTCGTAGTCGCGGTCATCGCCGAGGACGACGACGCCTCCCTCGTCGCGGCTACGGCGCCAAGTAGCGAACTGCTCAAAGGCGCGGCGCTCGGCGGCTGTGGGCGGTGTGTGGTCACAGGCGACGGGGAGGCGCTGCTTTATAGCGGCCTGGGGGTGGGCGTCGTGTATACGCGTGGCGGGAGGGGGGCGTCGCCGCGCCGCCTGTGAGGAATCAATGGAAGGCTGACCGACGGCAACCTTGGCATTGATTTCCCGCGGGAAACCAAGGGCATTATGAGGACGACGAGGCGAGTGTCTCTGACTCGGCAGGCCCGCAGTTCTTTCACGCCAAAATCGCTAGCCCCGGCGCCCCCCAGCGCGCCATGTTCGGCTTGGGTCCACCGGCACAAATTTCGGCCCATACCGACGAAAAACAGGCTCCTGGGGGAGCGATTGGGCCGATTTTTGGCGCCGGCGCTGAAAAATCGCCTGTGTGGGGGTGTGGGGGGGGGCTGTTGGGGGCGCGGCTGGAGATGCTCTTAGTAGCGTTGGCTGTGATTGCTGCAGTTACTTAGACGAGTCATAAATTACTAATATTTCCTTCGGCAATAATTTTGCAGATCATTTTTTACCATTGGACCAAACTAATATAAGAGTGTTTTATAGAATACTAAAGTAGTGATCTAAATGCATTTGTATTAGTTTACAGAGGGAGTACTACCATAAAAGAAAATCTCTTATTTTTTGCCTCTGTAACTTCCATTTTTCTTCTTTTCAGGTGAAGATGCGGATAGAAGTGATTAAGAAAGAACTGGAGGAGATACGGCTCGAGTCTTGTATTTTCAAGCAGGCCAGGGATTCCAGTATCCAGCAAGCTATTCATGTGCCAGCTGAAGGAACAACAGCAGATTTTGATGGAGCAAGGGATGCAGAGAAACAGATGGTGATGGATAAGCTATCAGCTGCTATGAGCGGCATCACACAATCAGGACAAGAGGTGCCCTTAATTTTCCCCATCTTTGGCCCCCCAGGCATAGGCAAGACAACCATGGCAAAACTGGTGTTCAGTGATGACAAGTTTCGAGAACATCTTCGCGCATGGATTGATGTCTCGCAGGAATTCAGCTTATGTAAGATAGGCAAGTCAATAATCTCTCAGGTATCAAGCCCGAGAGTAGAAGATATAGGCCCTGGCGGTGGAGGTGCCTCAAGCAATGAGACGGAATGTATGAGTATGAGTATGACGAAGCACCTTCATCAGGAGCTTCTGCTTCACAGTGGCAGGAAAGACCTGCTTGTTGTCCTAGATGACCAATGGGAGGACGACCCCACTCAACTCGAGAGCCTAAGGCGTATGCTTACTGTAGGTGACGAGCAGGGCAGCATCAAGGTAACCGTCATCGTAACATGCGACCAAGGCATCGCGAGGAAATTCTGTACTACGGGCGTGGAGCCGTACATGCTGAATCCGCTGAGCCAACACATGTGCTGGACAATAATCAAGCGAGAAAGCTGCTTCAAAGTTAGACACGGGCCAGAGAAAAAAGTGTGGGAGCAGATAGGAAGGGAGATCGCAAGCAAGTGCGGGGGTGTACCTTTGACAGCTCGAGTGCTTGGAGCTACGCTGCGGGGCAGAGATGTTGCAGGATGGAGAGAGGTGAGTAGGCAGCAGAGTGCTGTCATGTATGTTTCTCCAGCGGCCTTGGAGCTGGGCTTCAGACGCATGCCGCCAAATCTGAAGTTGTGCCTTGCCTATGCGGCCATCTTCGCAAAGGGCCACACCATAGTCAAACATGACCTCATTCATCAATGGATAGCGCTCCATCTTATTGACGGGCCACCGGACAATGTCTCTACAGCAAAGCGTGCTGAAGAGTATATCATGAGGCTTATGGACATATCATTCCTTCAGCCTGCAAAATCTGCGTCGGTCAGTTACTACTACACATGCTTGTTATAAATCCATCTTATTTGAGGTTATCCAACTTGTACTCCCTCCGTAAATAAATATAAGAGCTTTTTGATCACAACGCTCTTATATTTATTTACGGAGGGAGTAGTAAATTATTTCCAAATTATACATCCAACGAAAAGATGCTATATCTATTCTGATTGTCTGTCTGTCTGTCTGTAATATGAACCTTAATAATTATTTATGTCCTCTTTGTTTGCAGGCTAGTGGAAAGGATGAGGAGGCAAATGATGTTATGCCTCTCACGCAGGCCAGTGCCAAGGATGGTAAAGGAGCAACCCTCTTCACTATGCCTGACAACGTGCATGACTTCGTGAAATCAGTCATGGGTGACGAACTGATTGCTAATGTTGGGTTACATGACATCAATGAATTTTGCCGCTATGCACTGCTCACAGATTTGGTCATCAAAAGATTGAAGTACAGTACATTGCCTGCCCAGTTAAGGGCGCTACGCTGTGTGGGATGTAGCAAAATGGAGCTCAGTGATGACACCTTCTCATTTGCTAGGTGTCTGCGTGTGTTGGAACTAAAGGAGAGCTCCATGCAGAAGCTACCTGATTCCATCTGTCAACTAAGGCACCTGGGGTATCTGAATTTATCAGGCTGCTCTGGGCTGGTAACTCTGCCAGAGTCATTTGGAGTTCTATTAAATCTTTTCCACGTCAATCTATCTGGCTGCTGTGGACTATCCAAACTGCCGGAGTCATTCAGAAGGCTCAAAAGATTGGTGCATCTGGACCTATCCTTCTCGTCTTGCTTTCAAGGGATCGAGGGAATTCTTGGCGCTCTTATAAATATCCAGCATTTGAACTTGTCCAACCCTTCCTGCTACCTTCCTGAGCACCGGCCCCATCTGCAGGGGCTAAAACTTGTCATTTGCAAGCTCACAAAACTGGTGTATTTGAACTTATCAATGTTCCTGAATCCAATCTTCTGCTATATGTCACAAGAGGAACAACGCGAATACATTGGGACATGTATCAGTGGCCTTTCTAGCCTGGAGCATCTGGACTTGTCTCATAACATATTTCTTCGTCATCTGCCTGAAAATCTTGATGACCTCAACAAGCTGCATACATTGGACCTCTCGGGCTGCATCAGGCTCTTTCCAATGTTCAGTGTAATCAAAAGAGCTGGTATATTGAACTCCCTCAGTTTGTTAGTTGTGCGGAAATGCCGGAGTCTCTTTGTGGTCCTCACTGATGATGGAGCACACAACAACAACAACAACAACCTTGTTCAGCTAGATGATGGAGCACATAACAACAACAACCTTGTTCAGCTGGAAGGTGGAGACTGCAAAGAGCTGGAGATCGTCTGTCTTGAGAAGATCAAGTCAGCAGAGGAAGCACGGAGAATAAAATTGGCAGACAAGGGGAGGCTACGGATGCTGAATATGCATTGGACGCTGGGTTGCCACGGAGCTGTGGAGCAGAGCAATGATATCCTCGGAGAACTAGTGCCACCACATAATCTGCAACGCCTTGAGCTGCATGGTTATATTGGCACATGCTTTCCACCCTGGATCTTAAGGATGTCTTCTCACCTCCCTAATCTCGTAGAGGTTACCATGGAGGACATCCCTAATTGTCGTTTCCTGCCACCACTTGGTTCATTACCGAAACTGAAACATCTAGTGCTTAGAAGGATGCCTGGCATCATAAGAATCGACGCTGCTGAACAAGTCAGCGGTGACACGGAGGTGTTCCATCAACTCTCCAAGTTTACGATAGATGACATGCAAAGCTTACAAGAGTTGAACACCACATGCAGCATTGATGATGATGATGATGATGATGATGATGAGTCTATGCCTCATATTGATGAACTGGTTATCCGGAAATGTTCCAAGTTGAGCTTTGGAACTCTCCTGCCTAGAGCACGGAGGTTGCATATATCAGATTGCGACCAGCTGATGGTTACAGTGCTTGTGGAATGCCCTTTTACTCCAATAACTGAACTCGTGGTCGAAAGCTGTGAAGTGCCTATTGATGACTGGAGTTTGCTTTGCCATCTCGATGGCCTCCAGACATTGTCTTTTTTTCATTGCCACAACATGACCGAGCTACCGAATGACTTGGGTGGCCTTCTCTCTCTCCGGGAACTGAACATCGTGTCATGCAAAAACCTCAAGCATATACCCGATAGCATGCAACACCTCACCTCCCTTCAGTCAATCCATTTCTCTGACTGTGAGAGCATCACAGGACTCCCAGATTGGTTCAAACGCCTCACCTCTCTCCAGATTCTTGTCATCAGAAGATGCCATGCCATTGAGTCTTTGCCGGTGGGCATACAAGAACTCAGCAACCTCAAGGATCCGCTTATTTCTGACTGTCCAAAATTGGAGCAGTGGCGTGAGTCTAAGGAGAAGGAAAAACTTGCTGACAACCGACCAGTTCACACGAGAGTATGTACGCTCGTCCACATATTCAATTGCTTCCAGTGGTTACCGATTCTCCCTATTTTTACTCTGCTGTTTAGAATATTTTCCTCGGTTCATGCTTCTTATTTTGATACATCCGGTGCAATGTTGATTATTTCCCTAGAAATAAGATAGCCATCAGTGATCTGAGCTATTGTTTCTATTTGAAGTGTAGTTCATCTTGTTAATTTTGTGCGAAAAACTCATCTTATTAATTCATTCTGCAGAGTATGAAGAGAATGGTAGCTGATGTACGTAACAAGGTAGGCCAAGCAAACACCGGAACGGACCAATAAAAGTGAACCATCCATCAAGGTTATCCATTTCGAAATAATATAGCCATTTATTGATCTGATATGGGGTTGTTGCTATTCGAAGTGTAGTTCACCTTGTTAATTCTTTTGTGAGGAATTCACCTTGTTAATTCATTCTACAGCAGGGTGGATGGAACTAGCAAGGCAAGCCACGGAAACACTGGTAGAGACAGATGAAAATGAGCCATCCATCGAGGTTAGCCATCATTTCGGTGCAATGTTGCTTATTGCTCTAGAACTAAGATATCCACCATTGTCTAAGCTGGAATTTCTGTTATTCAAACTCCTGTTCACCTTGTTAATTCATTCTGCAGAGTCTGGAGAGTGAGCTAGCTGAACCAAGGCAAACCAGGCCAACAAACTCCTTTTAAGGTAGGCACTGATGAATATGAGCCATGCCTTGAGATTAACCAAGGGCCCAGATCCACCAATAGTCCAATAACAGCAAGAAATGTACAACGCGTCTTAGGTTTTGTGACAAAGTTGCAACTTAATTGTAATTTCTCTTAATAAGAAAATGGTATATGTAATACAAACATTAATGCAAATATATAACATTCTATATGGGTTTGGAATAATTCAATTTATATGAAGAAATAATATACGATGCTCATGTATTGGTTTGAATATTTTATTGAGATGAAAAAGTTATTAATATCAATAATATATAACAAAAGTGTTCACCTTGTTAATTCATTCTGTAGAATCTGGAGATGGAGATAGATGAAGCAGCAAGGCAAAGCAGGGAGAAGGCTGAAAGGGAAACACTACTAACCTCGAGGACCACATGACACATGTGGTAAGCTGTCCAAAATTGAGTTCAAGGAACTGATGAATATGACTCATCCATCGAGCTAGCTTATCCAACGCCAGATAAACCAATACTAGCAAACAAAATTAGTACGTATTTTTTTTAGTTAAGGGAGAAAATGGGCAGACAAGTATTGCAGGCCCAAGGTCATAATCAGCAGAAAATGGCTAGTGGGCAAGGTGGTTGATGAGGCAGTAGGAGAATCACCGTCTTAGTTGTGCGGCGGCGTAGGACAGGCTGAGCAGGCTGTCTCATGACTGGAATTTCTTGCCGTCATACGAACGGTGGCCACGGGGTGCACTCTTCCGCTTGTGTGAGCCCGTCAGACCGAGTAGAATTGCAGTTCCAGAAGACCAATGCTATCGTACCAAGATGATATGCCGGTTCAGTCTTTTGGAGGTGTTCATAGGGGTAAGGTATGCGTGTGTGCGTTTCTATGGGTGAGTGTATGCGCGTGTATATGAGCGCTTGCGTCTGTACTGTGTTAAAAAAAATTCTCTACACTTTTATGGCTCATATTGCCCCTGTTCCGTGCAGGACTTGTAATCCCAATTGTCTAGTTAGCACAAGTAGTTCGTCTAGTTTACTTGGGACGACGAATTCCTTCTTCGAAATGTTTAATTTCTTTATCATGTGCTTTAGTGTTGGTAGAGTTCGTGTTGAGTGGTAACCTGAAGTGCGTTTTTATACTTTGTGATGTAATGGTTTGAGATTTCTGGGGCCTCAACCTGGCATATTTCAAGTTGCTGTTTTGCATAATGGACACCCCTCAATCTGGGACTGCATGGTGTCCTTGCTTACCATTTTGTCTGGAGCAAAATGCCTCTGACAGAATTCATTTAATTGGCTCTTAAGTCATACTCGTCTTCCCAGGCTTGGAACATTGGAAAGACATCTTGTCAGATCCTAGCAACGTATCGAGGTATGTTTGAGTAGAAATCGAAGTACAGTAGCAGTATATGGAGCTATCAAGGCCAGATCAAAGGCTGATTTCACATACAAGTGTAATATCTATATGTTTATACCATAGTTTGACATAGCCGCTATAGCCTTTTTAGCATCGTGCCACTAAATGGTCTCATATATTAACAGCAGAACATGTCGCAATGTGCATATGGTGTCGAAAGTCATTCAAACCAGGCATCATGCCATGCCCACTTTCTTGCAAAAGTTGGGGCCAGTCTTGATATTTCCACAAAAATACCGTGTTCAATGGATTGGAGAGTGTTCAAATAGGCCAGAATTTCTCAACATCCATTTTTTCCATGGTCTTGTATGACCAATTCAAGGCACCATGCCAAATTGTTTGAGTTGTTGCCAAGTTTTGCAATTTTTGGAGTTTTCTCCGCGAAAAAAGCTGATTAATGGCAGAACGTGTCACAACGTGCATACGGTGTCGGGAATCATTCAAACCAGGCATGGATGCCAAAAATGGGCGTGCCGACTTGCTTGCAAAAGTTGGGGCATGTCCTGAGATCTACAAAGAAATACCATATTCAATGGAGAGTGTTCGAATAGGCCAGAATGCTATGTTTGGGAGCACCTCATTTCTCGACATCCCTTAAATGGCCCCATTTTTTCATGGCCGTGTATGACCAATTTAAGGCACCATGCCAAATTGTTTGGGATTTCGCCCAGTTTTGCATTTTTTGAAGTTTTCTTAGTTAAGAAAGCCGAGAAATGACCGGATGTGTCACCACTTGCATACGGTATCAGGCATATGCCTACCATGGGTATGCCTACCTTCTTGCAAAAATGGGGTTCATTTTAAGAATGTCCAAAACTAGACTATATTCAACGGATGGTGTTCAGATAGGCCAGAAGGGTCCGTTTGAAAGCTCGTTGTTTTTGGACATCCGTTAAATGACCCCAAATATTTTCAACCAGATTCTATGACCTAACTATTTCTAGAAATTTTGTCAACAATTTTGGAATTTCAAAGTGCGTACGAAGATTTTACGAATTTGAACAATTATTCCAAAATTGATAACAAATTACAAAAAAATGATGAATATTTCGAACAAAAATTGCAAAGCATAAAAAATTAACAACTTTTTTGAAACCCATACATTTTTCAAATTTGTGAATAAAGTATTGGAAAACTAGACCGTTTTATGAAATTCTGCTAAACAATATTTGAAAACAAGAACATTTTATGTTATGCCAAACATTTTTTTCCAAATTTTTGAACAAGTTTTACAAAGAATAATAAAGTTCAAAGTAGACAAACAAATTAACAAAAAGAGAAGAATAACGAAAATAATTGCAATGGAAAAATGCTTAGGCCCTAGAAAATAAGAACGTTTTCAGAAAATGTTAGTAAATTTGAAAAATTATTCGTAAATTTGTAAAAATGTTTGTGTTTTTAAGTAATGCTCGCAAATTTGAAAAGTGTTTGCATTTTTTTAAATGTTCAGAAATTTAACTATTTTTTCAAGTTTTCTATAAAATGTTCACAAATTCGGTAAATTATTTTTCTTTTCTAAAAAATGTCTGCAGTTTCAGATTTTCTTTTAATTCTAAAATACTGTTCTTAAAATTTGAAAAAATATTCACAAAATCAATGTGTTATTCACAAAAAAGGTTGAGAAATTTGAAAAAACATCGCGTTTCGGAAAGAAGTTCAAATCTTGAAAAAAAAATCATGTTCTAAAACAAATCAAAAAGATGAAAGAATGCATGTGATTTTTTTAGCTATAAAAAATACTTTAGCTAGAATGTCCGCCCGGTTGTACAGTACCAATTTTTATCTGCTACAGTATTTCTGATAAAGAACTTCGCTACATATGCCTTTCCAAAACGTGATGGTCCTGCTGGCTATTAGCAATTTAACAACCCCTGGAGGTCCTGTGTTCGATGCCTTATAGGCACACTGTTTTTTAGGATTTCCAATCCATGCTACAGTATATACTCACTAATGGGCCGGCCCAAGGTGGACTTAGAACGTGACAGATCTCAGTGACGTATTTTCTATAAGGACCATCCTACCCTTTATTATGAAGGGGTATGAACAGACGTCGTCTGTTGATGTGTTCAGCGGTTGTACTGAAGAAGTGTTGCGTTATTGAGATACAGATCTCCATGACGTATTTTCTATAAGGACCATCATACCCTTTATTATGAAGGAGTATGGACAGATCTTGTCTGTTGATGTGTTTAGGGGTCGTACCAAAGAAGAAGTGTAGCGTCATTGAGGTACTACATGGCCAATGTTTGTCATACTCTCTTGTGGATCCTCCCTCCGAATTTGTAGACGCTTTGCAATATGTATTACGGGCTATCTTATACATAGTCACCCGGCATTTTTTAAAAATTTCAATTACTTTTACTAAATTTGTGGTTGTTTTCCCTTTTAATTTTTTTAATTTTTTTTCTTTTGAATAAATGTGTTTAGCTATGAGACAAAACAAAAAAAATCCACCGAAGATCACAAAATCAACGTGTCGATAGGATGACGTCATTGAGATACTGCCAGTGTTTGTCATACTCTCATGTGGATCCTCCCTCCAAATTTCTAGACGCTTTGCATGGGCTATCTTATACATAGCCATCTATATATCCAAGCACTACCAAAGAAACACCTATATATAGTTCTAACCCTATCTATCTATATATATATGTACCAATGCAGGAGTGAGGGAGGGAGGGATGCAGGGAGATCAAGGTGGCCGGGAGGGTGGGAGGGAGAGGG